TATATATATATATATATATATATATATATATATATATATATATTGGATATGGAATGAGTTGTAGAAGTCTATTAAGAAAAAAGAAAGATTGCAATCTTTCATCATCTGACTGTACATATATAGAGATCAGCGTTTATGTCAATAGTTAATTATTACACTCAAGAAAATATAATGTTATCCTCAGCGAAATCCTCTTTATATACGACCTTAAGAAAATTTTTCTAAAAGAACAAAAGAGGGAGAAATATTCTAAACACATTTTTTTTAAAGTTAGAGGAGAATTTCGTCTTTTATTTACAATACAAGTCTTATTCTCGATGGAAATTTCTTCCAGTAAGAAGGCACTCTGCTTTAAGTAAACATATTGATTCAAAAATAAAATAGAGAAAAAATAGAGTAATATTAATAACAGAGATTAACAAAGTTATTAATAATTATCTTCATTAGAAAAAGAACACTCTTTCAAAAAGTTTCCATTTACAGTATGAGATCACAGGAAATGGCATTTTGCAACTAGTTCTTTTTGTGTGTCAGAATGTTTCCTTTGTGTCTTGAGAGAGATCCTCTTGAGGCTCCATTATAAGAGGATCCCGCTAAGGGTGAGATTATATGTAATATTGCTTTGGCTGTAAACATCCGTTAATGTGGTGCACATGGTTGACGTCGGAAATAAAAGCGAGAGATCTGAACACTAGGCGGAATAGAGAGCGTCACAATCGCGGAGACAGAGATTCGCGCGATCGTTAATTTCAGAGTCAGCCCGGGTTCGTCGTCTCGCGCTTTCCCGACTCGGGAGAGAAATTTCGGTGGGAAAAAATGGGACATGGTTGAGAAACGTGCCAATAATTTCCGGCTAGCATCGACCGCGATCGCGCTGGATCCCGGGGCCGAGGCGAACATTACGCCGCGAATGCTCGTAAAATGTCGCGCGCCTGCTTCTGTTACTGCCGCGGTGGGCAATAAAATAGCAGCACTACAGACCGGGACGTTACACACGTTATTACGACGCGGGAGTTTCACGTGTATTTATTTCGAGATCGTGATGGTCCGGCGCGCTCTGTGCGAGAGCGCAGCGCAAATCGAGAGGCAAACTAGTCCTCCCCGAAAGCAAATATAATCGCGATCGCACTTTCTCCATTAAAAATGCAAAACTAGCATGCATTCCGTCTACGTCATATGCACGGCGGTGCAACTGATGCACTGATTTATGCGATTTATGCGGAAGGGACCGACATTGCACACATCGGAAGGATCGTTCAAAACGGAGTTTTTATGTGAAATTAATTTTGCCCTTCAGTTCCCGATCAGTTATTAATTTTCACTGATCTTCAATAAGATTAAGTTCGCAGAGAAAACACTGGGGAACCATTTGAATACACTGAAAGAAAGAAGTGATTAATGTTACTAAGATTATAGTTATTTTCGGCGCCAACTATATTTTTCGATTAATCTAACAAGAGAATAGTAGTAGCAATATGTATATAAGATTATCATCACTGACACTATATCAAAAGATTTATCAGAGCGAAATATTAATATTATTTTTCATCCATATTTACAAAAGGGCGGAAGCCATGGTACTCTAGAAATGGTACACTAGCTTCCTTTTTGTTGTCCGTCTATCTATACATGTTTGAGTGAAGCTGTCTGTGCTGTATGGTGTAACCAAACTCTACGGATCTCTCAAATATAGTAGCAATATTCGCAACTAGAGATAGCAATATTCTTTCGGTTGAGGCAATTATATATGAAGATATAATTTAACATTGCATATCATAAGAACTGTGAGAACTATATAAGTATAACAACAATTTCTAATGCAATATCTATGTTGAGATAAAAAATATTTAAGAAATAAAAATAAAAAATAAAAATGTTTATTCTGTAAATATCAATAACATATTTATTTAAATCTAAATTATTTTATTTAAATAGAACAAACGATTGCTCTCATGAGAAACTAAGGACTTAAGAAAATGTGTATTTCCTTATTTGAAAATAAAAAGTTTAGATTAAAAGTAAATATGATATACCCATCGAATAAATATTTTTTTACATTTCTTAAACATTTCTTCTCTCAGTGCTTAATTCTTAGGTTCACATAAATGTTTTTTTTTCTAACCATAGAGAATACGGTTGTAGCAGCCATAATAGTTTACTCCATATTGCAATTTGTCCTTCATCTAAATCGATAATGTTAGGAAGCATAGGTCATTTAGATTTGTTAAAACCGCTACGAAATTTCATTTTTTTTTTAAAGAAATCGATAATAGAAAGTCTTCACAGACATGCCAAGTGAACAAGCCCTCGGATCGAAAACCCGAGCGATCGATTTCCCGCTATATCGCGAATATTTCAAACGCGAGTGCGAAAAAAATAGCCCGCACGTGCGTATATCTCACCTGGAATAAATAAAACACAATCGGGAAAAAATGTACACATATATAGGGTGTCCCGTATCACCTTCACAATCTCTCGTGAGGACGTAGAGCGGATTGAGATAAACACAAAAGTCCCATACCGTTTTGCGATATTCTCAATAATAGTCGAGATATTAATTAAAAAAGATTGGTGAATAATAATGTGCGATGTGGTAGATGAGCTGCAATTGCGCCATCTACCGTTGTATACTTGTACATTAAGTCAAACTGAACAAAAAGGTCCTCTACCATTTTGCAAATGACAACATAGATTTTTAGATATTAATCAAAGAAAATTGTTACATGATTATGTACTATAATGCACAAATTTTCTTTAATTAATATCTAAAAATCTGTGTTGTCATTTGCAAAATGGTAGAAGATTTTTTTGTTCAGTTTGACTTAATGTACAAGTATACAACGGTAGACGGCGCAATTGCAGCTCATCTATCATATCGCGTATTATCATTCACCAATCTTTTTTAATTAATATCTCGACTATTATTGAGAACATCGCAAAACGGTATGGGACTTTTGTGTTCATCTCAATCCGCTCTACGTCCTCACGAGAGATTGTGAAGGTGCTACGGAACACCCTGTATACACGCGTGCATCGGCGCGCTGTAGCTTTGTTCATTCCGGTACGCCGTGCACGGATCTTGTTTATGTCATGTACGCTTTCGCTTCTGATATCGCCTATATTTGTCAGAAACGCCGACCAGAATGGAGAAGCGCGCGCGGCACGTACTTACACGTACGTCCGCGCCAAAAGAGCCACGAAGGCCACTCGATGGGCCTCCGCTTTTGTTTCGCAGATCAATCCGTAATTTTGCGTGATGCAAAAGTGGGTGCGATGCGAGGATTTAACTGTAGCAATGCGCACCGACATCCGCGTAATCCGCGACAGAAGTGAGCCACGAGAGAAGTCGCTTTCCTTCATGAAAGATTTTGAATGATCTCGTCGTGGAAGCCGCGAAACTCGCGGAATTTAGGTCTCAGTGGCGAGACGCGCTCCGATAATATACACAGACGGTATAAGGCGGAATAAATATTTACTCTTAGGTACTCCCCATCAATGGTTTAGATCTTGACATATATTATCAAGGACATTCTCCCGAATACTATCCAAGAAGTTCTAGCCGTCGCTCGTTGTTTGTTAAAAAGTTATTTGAAAAAAAGTTTTATAAACGAAACGTAATTTTGGTACACAATATACATTGAAATATGGTAAACAATGCACGTATATACGCGGGGGGAGGGGCGGAGCCCAAAAAAACTAACCCTAACCTGACCGATCTATTGAAATATGGTAAACCGTACACGTATATACGCAATCCTTTACATTTTTATATAGAATTTGTCAATGGGAAACAATATAAGAATAGAAATGCAGGTATTGCTTGCGATATTTTTTGCATATAGTGTACATTGAAATATCGCAAACAGTATCTGCATTTGTATTCTTGTATTGTTCTTCATTATGTATAAAAATGTAAAAGATATGTTGCGCATATACGTATATGATTTACCATATTTCAATAGATGAGTTAGGTTCGGTTAGTTTTTAGGGGAGGAAGAGGGGGAGGGGTACAGCCTCTTCTTCGCGCCTGTACTGTTTATCATATCTATGTATACTGTGTATCAAAATTAGAGCACAAATATAATACACATTTCTTTTGTTAATAACTTTTTAACAAGCAACGGCTAAAACAATATTCAGGAGGATGTCCTGAATAAACTATGACAAGATCTAAACCATTCGTGAAGAGTACCTAAAAATAAATATTTACCGTGCAATACATTAACATTTCTGAAGACGTTGGTATTTAAGTGCGATACACCGCATCTGTTAACTATCCAGCTTTAAGAAATCAGTAACATTAGTAACCAAACATTTGTCTTCTTAATATAAGGAATTTTAATTACGTAGAAAAGAAATTTCGCACCACGATAAATCATTCCTGAAACTCCATGGCAGAGCCAACGTGTTAACGTTTATATAACATCTGTCAAGTCTATTTTCTTTTTCGAGTCTTCGTTTACATATTATTATTTCTTCGTTTACATATTATTATATCTTATATTACATACATAAAGTTGTAGAATTGTAGAAAATTATAGAACATGTTACGAGGAATATCTTTTCGAGATTTAATGGTATCGCGCAGCGTAGTGGAAAGCGTCTACAATGTGTCAATGGAAGAGACGTTTATTTGCGAAGTTTATTGATCACGTCCAAATTACTATTGTAACAACTCGCTAACCCCTATACGCGTATAGCGTAATACGTGTCATAATTTTATTAATTCACCGGGAAATACAGGCGGATATTAGCAGATTCGTAATTTTAATCATACGGCATATATCTAATTATACAGCCGATTAAAACTTTCATATCAGATGATATGAAGCGGGAATAATTAGCGCACTCGATAACAAGGGACTCTGCATCAAACTCGCGTTGATTATTATTTAGAAGTTATAATATTCCAGCGGCGGAGCGCGAATTACCGAGCTAAATGGTCTCGTCTCCACGCAATATAGCAATCCGCTATTGTGCAAATACTATTCTATCGGAAGGAGAAATACATTTTGACTTTAATTAATATACAAACTCCTTAGCATTACACAATATATATGTGTGTGTGTGTGTATTTGTAACCTAACCTAACCACCAATATTTATGACCATCAGGATGGTTATAACAATTATCATCATCATGCTGACGACCACGATAATCACCATCATAACAACCATCATGAGGAGGACCACCATGAGAACGACCACCATGAGGAGGACCACCATGAGGAGGACCACCATGAGGACGACCACCATGAGGAGGACCACCATGATGACGACCACCATGAGGACGACCACCATGAGGACGACCACGATGATCATCATCAGGACAATGACAAACGTAACTATCGCTGCAAGACTTAAAACAATTTGTATTACATTTTATTTTACAGATGTCAATTTTCAGCACACGGTAGTTTATTTCGTTATCATTACGCGTGTTGGTCATATCACGCTGTAATCTATTACTTAAAAAATATAGGTTTTTACACCTGGTCTTCATCCCACTTATAAATTGCAATGTTTCGGGATTATATGCCATGACCTTAAAATCAATATTTCACTTAAAGCAATAGAAATTATATGAATATATAGCGATTTGTGAGTTATATTTCTAGCAAAATTGCGATAAAGCATGATCTAAGCAGCGTGTCGATAAAAATATTGCATTAGCCTATCTTACCTCATTGCTGGAGTTTGATCTACCGGTGTCTTTGCACAAAATGCTTGTGTCCGGGACATTACTAAAAAATAATGCGCAGTACTTGGATGCCATAGGACCCGTCTGACCCGATAACTCAGTCACCATGGTAGTTTGGTCATTAGTTAGGTCATTAATCTCGTTACAAAGAAGCGGTTTAGTCAGATCGCATTTCTTCATTTTAGATATCTTTAAACTCGACAAAGGAGCGTAGAACAAGTCTAAAAATATTTATAACGGAGATATTAATACTCACCCTAAAAAATATAAAGTAAATGTTCAGTTTATGGTGACCACCTTCGATGATTTTGATTTGTGGACTTATATGCTGTAAAGATAATGATCTTGAGCGACATTCAAAAGATTTCACTTGACGATTATTGCGATAATTGTTTATTAAAGAATAAACCACAAATCAAGATTCACATTGTTAACAAACAAAAATGCATTTGCCCCCCTCCTCATTCTGCATTAAATCTGGCCTACCTTTATCTATTTCATTGAACGGTGCACAATTATATACATAATGAAAGACTCGACCTATATATATATTGATAACATCTAATAACCAGAGATTGAAACGTTGTCCGAATTAAAGGAGCACGTAACAAAAATTGTAGAATAATAACTATAATTTTTATTTGTACTCTTTATAATAACTTTTTAATAAATAATGACCACTACCAATTGAAATATTTTGAATGTTACTCACAAGGAACAATATCCAAGTGTAACACGCCATTTTTCTTGAAACTCAGCATGCACATAGCATATAACATGACATTTCATATTTGATATTTTATATCGGCTCGTTTTTTAATTTGCACTTATTTGCAATTATTTAAACAATTGTTTAACAAATTATTTTAACAATTGTTTAAACAAAACTTGAAATGACGATGTACGTAAAAACTGATATTTATAAGCTCATAACATGTAAATCTAAAACACAAATCTAAAAACTATAAGCACGTAAACTCATGTACTCAAAACCCATAAACTCGAAAACCCATAAACAATCGTCTAAATAATTATGCAAATTAAAAAACGGACCGATATAAAGTATCACATATGAAATGTCATGTCATACATTATGTGCATGCTGAGTTCAAGAAAAATGGCGTGTCACACTTGAATCAGGACTATTAGCTTCACAACATACATTAAAGTCAAGGTCATCAAAAGATCATAAACTGAACGTTCACTTATTGGTGTAGTATCTTCTGCTGTTCCAAAAGAAGCTTTAGTGACAAAAAAACTTTAGATTCTGTAATCGACATGCGCGCACGCGAGAAATATCGACAAGAAGACGAGTGATAAGGATGCAAATTCACAAGTCAAAAGTTCAAAAATAGACTTAAAAATTGTAGAACGCGCCGTGTGCGATCTAATGAAGCTTGCAAAACGGCAATTAAAATGTGAGAAAGATCTTCGTTCGATGACCATATGTAACTACGTACTTTTACAGATAGATGCCATGCCGAGAATACCGTCTCCCAATGTAAAACTTTGGTCAGCTATAGTGAAATTATAATCGGTCGGTCGCATGTCATTGGATTCATATCTACAGAATCCACGTTGCTTCTGCCACACTATTAAACCGAAACCCTCTGTGTCAGCCATGTACACCTAAGTTTTAACTCGATTAATCATGATTACATACTAAGTGACTTTAATTAAAGTGCGCGATCCGAAAGAGTGTACTAACCACAAGAGTGTACTAACCACACAATTATCAATATTTTTACAATCCAAACAGTCCACGATAATTGTCACCAATAAACCAGTGCCGTTTTTATTGGTAGCGAACTTCTTGGGAATTGTGACTTTTTCAACTAATTGATCAGTCTTTAAATCAAAGATGAGCAGTTGCGGAGGACACCACATTTTATCATCGATTATTCCGGAATCCAGAACGTAAATGCGGTTGCATTTGATCTGAGGTAAAAATAAAAATAATGACTTTTACAGCCGACTTGACGCAAGCAGACATATATCGTTCGTTGAAACGTAATCGCTGAATGCAAAACTATTGCCAATCTAACGAAGGATATCAGCGCTTGCATAAACAACATTTACGTAAAACGAGAGGCAACCTGTTTCCCGGAATACTTAAATAAGCGGAAACTATCGAACTACTGATACGAACCGGGTAACAAGAAAACGTTTTCGCGTAACATTCTTATGTACTCTACCAATCCGCGAATTCGAGTTTCAGTCTTAACTCAGTCAATTAGCAATCACTAACTAAAAAATATTGTAGTAAAAATTATGACTAAATTTTTGTAATCTCAGAATTCACTAACTAAAAAATATCGTAGTAAAAATTATGACTAAATTTTTGTAATCTCAGAATTTGTGTAATTTCAGAATTATGACTGAAATTATTATATATTTATCTCAAAATATTATGCACGTTTGAATTTTTAGACTAAATTAATATAGTTTAGTCAGTATAGTATAACCTATCTCTTTCCAAAAAACATTGTAGAAAGAAGTATAATTCTAACATAATATTTACTAATTAATACTTTCTTCTGCGTGTACACTGAGAAAAAAGTAGTTAATCTCACCATATTGAAAGAAATTATCCGATAAAAAATTAATAAGTAGATATTTCCAATCAAATATCGATGAATTGTTATATCCGATCAGGATATTCGATTCAATTTAATCGAATACTTTCGATCATAATGATATTTCATCAAATAAACCGAACAAAAAATTATGAAGCGATATTTCTCACCGAATATTTCCTGATCGAATACAAAAATTCATCGGTATTTTGATTGGAAATATCCGTTTGTTAATTCCTTATCGAATAATTTCTCTCAGTGCACGAATTATAATCACTTTCAGTGTAAATCGTATTTTTTCGTTATTCTAGCACAAAAATGGTAACAGCAACACGTATAAAGTTACCATCAACCATATCATACAGTGCTTACATCGTAAACATTTTTCTGATTATGATTACTTTATATAGAATTATAATAATTATTATAATAATTATATAGTCAGGAATATCAAACAAATTTTTTTCAGTATAAAATCGTATGTGTGCGTCTGTCTTATATTGGCCACGATAATTTGCATTTATTTAATACTCACATCCACCCTGTAACAGTTCGTGATGCGATTGCGGTTGCAATTTATGTTCGATATGTTCGATGTGTTCTCAATTGGGTACCAATCCCAATTAGGATAAGGAGCCAGAAGCGGACCACCTGAGGTATTATTGACATCTAAGACATCTGGTTTGTTATCTACCACCATCAAACTGACCGGTATACTGAAATTGTCTCTCACCGAAGTAACGAATGTTCTACCACCTATAAGAATATCCTTTGTAAACGGAGTGAAATATTACGAGACACGCTCGAATCACGAATTCACCGCGGCTAATGTTACGTCAGCAATATCAAAGTACAACGAAACGTAGACCACAGTGACTCCTGGATATTAAGGCAGGATAAACTATTCTTCTCACACACATCCGTACTTCCTAAATTGTTATCAAATCATCGAGCAGTGTTAACTCACTTTTTACGTCTACGTCTACGTCGTATAAAGCACCCCTCTTGTCCACATAGCCGGCATTAATCGCTTCCTTTTTCTGCTCCACTGATTTCCATTTGAGCGGAATATACTTCCATTCGTATATGATTTCTGGTTGGATTTCTGATCGCGACATTTGGTAACTCGTAACAATCACCGCGAAAAGCAACAAAATGACGAGCGCCCTCATTTTTCAGCGTCAAAAATACAATGAATAATAATGACGTGACAAAGCAACGTCGCGTGTGTCGCAAACGCGCGCGAAATGGCATCCCTCGCGCTACGTTGACCGCTATTTACGGCCAGTTTCTCAAGGCCGACAACAATTTTAGAAAAGTATGCGCAATGCCGATAAACAATAGCGGACTCTTTATCACGCCGTTATCGTTCGATACGCCGAAGTTGTACGCGTGCAGCGCGCAGTTTGGCGATATCATATCTGCTTCCATGTACGGAAAATAACCAACTCATTGTTATTGATTTTATCTTCGATTTTCCTTGTACCAGCGTTTTATTATTATAATGAGAATCGCACGCTTGCTTACGCGAACGTCGTTTTGCATAAACGCACCAATCGCCGATCAATTGTTGAGTCAATTAGCAGCCATTATCGATAATTGGGCGAAATTCAGCAAAATAAATAGCGGAATATCCAAAATTTTGCCGGCATAATTACCATAAGCGATACGCGTGTAAATAGAAACGTCACGTGAAAACGAACGTCAGATCGATGATTAACTTGCGCAATCATCATCGCGTACACGTGTAAACCGTGATTGTATACAAACACACATGTATGCATGTACACGTGCACGTGTCGAGAAATAATTTATTACGTCCCGCAACACGCGATAAAAATCTCGCGTGGCGCTGAATTTAAGCGTAGCCCATATCCGACGGCAACGCAAACCAATAAAGGAGGGGTTGGAGAAAGAAAAAAGGGAGGAGAGGAGAAAACGTTTGCGGCGGTTCCGCGCTGCCAAGCCCATCGATTTCTTTATTGCCTTCTACATTTCCTTGCCGCTCCTGATCGTGGCATTGGAAATTGCAAGTTCGTCTATTGTCGCCGACGGCGCGTGTCTAAAAAACGAACAGGCCGAGGAAAGGATTGGGGAATCGCAATAAACCCGAAGGAGAGAATCGAGCAGCGGGACGGTGGCAGCGGTGGCAGCGGCCGCGCCGTATTCTCTTTCGCGACGAAGTCGAGCGAAAAGACTTCCTCGTTAGAGCTTTTCTACGGGTTTTGTTTCCCTAGTCGCGAAAGACAAGAAACTTCTGTCCTCGAGACAGGAAGGGGGAGGGGTGATCTTTAATGAACTAAAAGCGCATTTGTCCCGGTATCTCTGGCGAGAAACGATGTTGCGCGAAGGACGCTCTCTTTTAACGAAAAGGGAAGAAAAGGGGAGAGGAGCAAGAAAAAAGAGAAGGAAAGAAAACATCCCGTCTGCGTCTCGCGTTAGAAATTTTCAAAGTGGCAATGGGGACGTGTGCAACGTGATTTTTGGCCACGTTCGCGCACGCGCGCGCACTACACGGTATCTCGGTTCGACATTTTTCGCGCTCGCTATATAACGGCGGCATTTGCTTTTTATAGTAGCCGGGATGTGTAACGCCGCTGCGAGCACAATAAAGAATAATTTCAGTGAGAAATGTAGTCCTTCGGGATAGTCGGGCCGCGCAAATCGCGTTCTTGCAAATTTGTGTCAGTGAATGTGAATATTCAAGAGAAGATGAGGCGTCGCGCGCTTTTATGCATTATTGCATTAGAAAGTTTACTTATCCCTCAAAACAAGCTGCATCTCCTTTGGCGCGTTTCACGCTTTACAGAGGAATTTTACGTGATCCCAGCTAAGAAACGAGAAATATCGTTAATCTCCGTTTTTAATCGTTCGCTGTCGCGTCGCGCATCGTCGCGCTAAAACTCCCTGAAGCCTTAGGAATGATTAAAGGTGCACTGGCCATATCTCAAAAATAATGAAAAAGTTTTGGAAAAAATTAAAGATCAATCTCTATTACATCTAAAAAGTGATGTGTATGTATGTGTGTGTATGTGCAAGTGATGAAGACATTTAGTCTTTGGATCAAGAGTTATTCCACTCTGAAGTGTAAGCCCGGCAAACGTGATGATGTCAGATGATGTTTTAATATCTCTAATGTTAATAATACGTCATTATACGCTATTTGACGTGATCCTGCTATTTGAGAGCATTATTCGAATACTTAATGTATGTAACAATTCGTGATGAGATTAAACATGCTTCTTCTCAGTGTACACGCACGCGCACAAAAGAACTGTGCCAGTGATAATTACGTTAATATTATATTTCTTTTCACAATGTTTTCTCTTTCAATTTTAAGCCATACTGTCTGGGAAATGTATGATTTACTATCACTGATATATAATTAGTAAAAGGAAAAATAATTTAAAAAAATAGTGACAGAAATTTCAGTTTTATCTTTTTTGTTTTTTTTTGTTTTAGATTACTACAAACGGTTATACCACGTCAGCAGGATATGTGAGCGTGTTACATGACTTCCTATAACTGAACCAAAAGGGCAATCAGAACTAGATGTCCCATATTTCAGAATTTCGAAGTTATGACTTCTCAGAGAACTAAGTGTTGTAATTGACTATGCAAACATGATAGAGGCAGCCTTCTTCTATGTGTTAATTCTCTCCCTCTCCACAATATACGATTCGTATATTTCGCTTTGTAATAATAATAAAATACAAATATACAGCAACGTGCCCATTTTACTCTGGTACCGAGTTTCAATTGCTCAGAGTAGCGCAGAGTAAGAAAGCCACATATAAAATATGTATCCTGATTAATAGTTCCGAGGTTTCTGCGAGAGGTCTCCACAGCCTTTCTGCCAGCTCTTCTACCAGCCCTTAATTATGGGTTAACTTGTCCACCCATATGCCCGATTTCAATCATTTTACTAATAAAAATTATTTTTATTATCTGAGACAGTATATCGTTCACTTGCAAGAAACTTCTTTCTAGCTAGTAACACGCCATTTAACTTTATTCATTTACGATGAAGAATATTAATACAAAATCTCAAGAGGCTCGAAAATTTACTTTACTATTATTAAATCAGTTTTTTTCTATTTCTATTAACTGCAATATTATTCCGATTTTAATGTGTGTAACTCAGGGACAAAATATCTATAATCTACAAGAACCATTTCACAATTTTGTATTCACTTATGTTCTTTTCAATTATGAAGAGTTTTAATTATGAAAAAAATAATACAACTGGTTAAAAGTACGATAAAAATATACTAGGAAGTTCGAAAGTGTGTCTTATATCTTTGTAAAATAAAAAATTCCAAAAAAAACTTTTGTAAATCATGTCTACAAACTGTCCCTTAAGTATCCAAATGATATACGCGAAATTTCATTGTGATTCAAAGATCAAAGTTTAAAAAAGTCAGAGATAACATAAAATAAAGTAAATAAATAAATAAAACAAGAATGCGATGTTAAAATAAAAGTATGTCATTCAACTGTACTTAGTATTTTACGGAAAATAAAAATATTTTAGTGTATTCCTAATTTTCAGTTATTTTTGCGAGAACTATACAGGCAATACATCCTTAAACAGCCGTTGAGTTTTCCTCTCTTTTACACTCGTGAACTTGAAAGAATGACCGCAAATGCGGGAGGAGGGCGGAAATGCGCGATCCAGAGTAACATCCTCTGAGACACGGAAATGATATCAAAATTAAGCGCGCCCGCGAGCAAGTGAGAATCCCAGCCCGCAATTCGACGATGTCGTTTGGGGATCGCGCGATCTCGATTAAAATTTTAGTTCTGCCGAGTTCCACGAGTGGTCCGAATAGCGCTGAGCTCGCGAGCACGCGGTGATTTTTATTCGCTGGAACGTATATCAGAGCCAAAAGAGAGAGAGAGAGAGGGGAGAGAGAGAGAGAGAGAGAGAGAGAGAGAGAGAGAGAGAGAGAGAGCTTGCCCGTTCGTTCGCCGTTCTATCGGCGTTGCGAGAAGGGCAAAACGATCCAGAGGCGCGCGGCAGGAAGGTTCGTGTTTCTACACATCCCTGGGGTGTGTTTCCGGCGTACGAGGGGTGCAGATACGTTTAGACACGGACGAGAGGAAATGCCGTTCCCTCGCCGAATGCACCGGCGCGGCATCACGGTGGAAACTTTCCCGTGCACCCTCGCGATGCGTTATTGTGAAGATCGCGCAGGTGCGGCTGCGCTCTCGTTAATCATCTCTGAGCGACTTGATCCTCGCATCAGATTACTCCTTGTCGTACGGTTTACGGCGCGCGAGGCAATAATAAATGGAGAATTAATTTTAATTCGAACGGGAGAGAGAGACGCGGCTACACGCCGCTACTCCTACATGCGCTCGTACGCGTATAATCGAACAACCTCCGTTCCATCTCTCGCTTTTCCTCCGTCTAGACTGGCAAAAGGTGCAAAAAGTGCGGCCGACTGCATTTTTATTGGGAGAATCCGATATTCGCATTGCCAAAAACGCGGACACCGGAATATGTCACGGGAATATTTTCTAAGTATTCCTCTTGCGAAGTGTGTCATACTTTTCTTTGTGCACGAACGCCTCGCGTACTATGGAGTTATGTGATGTAATTGTCCCCTACTTTGTATGCCAGATAATAGAGCCACGTGTTCCGCTCGAGTCACGCAAGAGCTCTATCATTAAGTGTACAATACGGAAAAAAATTAGACTTGCTAAAAGCATACACTGTAATTATCATTAGTTGAATATATTAAATAACGTGTATGAGTAACGCACGACAGACTAGTCTTGCACTAAAAACGAGTTTGTTTTCATACGTTCAAATTCGCGTGCACTTACGTTATTCTTTTATTTCAATTCGGCTCTAAAGGGGAGAGAAACACGGTAAGATCTCTCGACTAAGTGACGGGAAACGGAATAAAAAGAATCGTCCGCCAACGAACTGGGATCTTGAGAATCGAAGAAGGAAATGTACGTTACATATATGTATATATACATATAACATATATATATATACACATACACACACGTATTTGTGTACATACGCTTAAATACACATACACGCACAACTTTTATATATTTACACATATATATACATATATATCCTTATATGTATATATAAGCTAGCGTTCATTCTCATGCAGTCAAGAAAGAGCGCGAAGGGCGATGCGGCGAGGGAGCAAGGAATAAGGAAGGAGGATAGCGCTCAGTCGGGCGATGCACCGAGGTTAGAGTAGGCTATTATGTAAATTTTAATGCAATACTGG